CGTCCGGCAACAAACCGCATTTATGACTCCACTTGGAAAAATTTTTGCCTTTGGTGCAGGGAACGGCAGTTTGACTTACACAAACTCTACATCCCTCAGATAGTAGATTACCTCTTGGAGGGACTAGACAGAGGCCTCGCCCCCGCGACCATCCGCAGGCAAGTGGCGGCCTTGTCCACCCTCCTCACCTGCACGGATTCGGTTCCCTTAGCTCACCACCCCAGGATCCGCGCCTTTATCAAGGGCGCCTATAACACCAGACCTCCAGTAATTCACAGGTACCCGTCCTGGGAACTACCGCGAGTCCTTCACGCACTCACTCGGTCACCATTTGAACCATTGGCGACCGTTTCCTTGCGACACCTGTCGCTAAAGGTGGCGTTCCTGATTGCCATCACATCGGCCAGACGAATTTCGGAACTGGCCGCACTGTCAGTCAGAAACGACCTATGCATTTTCCACAAGGACAGGGTGGTCCTTAGGTTAGATCCTGCCTTCATACCGAAGGTGAATTCACTCTTTCACAGGACACAGGAAGTAATTCTCCCAAACTTCTGTCCAAATCCAACACATGACCGGGAGCGGCAGTGGCATACATTGGACGTCCGCAGAGCCTTGCGGCGTTATATAAAGCGTACAGAACCCTTCCGCAAATCGGAGGCCCTATTTGTGTCCTTCCAAGCGGGCACCTTGGGGCGGAAAGTTTCCGCGGGCACCATTGGAAGGTGGATCCGAAGCTGTATCGCAGAAGCTTACAATGTATCATCCCTGCCGCCCCCAAGTCATCTCACAGCCCATTCCACCCGAAGCGCTGCAACTTCGGCGGCATGGGCTACCCAGGCGTCAATCGAGGAAGTTTGCAGGGCCGCGACATGGTCCTCGCCTTCCCCGTTTATACGACACTACAAGATAGACCGCTTTGCATCGGCGGATGCCTCCTTTGGTAGGAGGGTCCTCCAGCAAGTTGTCTCAGAGATCAATCTACCGGCCTTATCTGTTTCCCACCCCTTGGGACAGTGAGGCTTTGGTACGTCCCATCCATGGATTATCCATCTCCTGTACTGGAGAAGGGGCGTTGGTCTTACCTGAACGCCTTTTCTCAGTACGGAGATGGATAATCCACACCCACCCCAAGGCCAGCAGGCCGCTAGTAGGGAGCTGAGAGCCAATACCTCGTCAATCATCAGCCAATTCGCCCTCGTTAAGAATGGACTCCACAGGAAGTGGGGGCGTGTCAAGCTTTGGCTACTTGGTCTCAAGAGCAGGCAGACAGAGAAAACCCATCCATGGATTATCCATCTCCGTACTGAGAAAAGGTGTTCAGGTAAGACCAACGCCCCTTTTACAAGGCATATATTTATTTCACTGAATTTTTTTTTTCTTTCTTTTCCTGTATACTTATTCAAGTATGAAACTTAAATAAGCATAAAAATTAGTATAAATAAGCTATTTGCTGATAGCTATTCTAGCATACTATAGCAAAAACATCCAGTGAGCATCCATAATTAATTGAAGTAGTTTGTTTAATATTTCTGCTGTTTTATTTTATCAGATAAAACAGATAATTATTCAATTTTTTTGTCAAAAATTAACTTAATGAAAATCCTTAGAGTGTACCGACGTATTCAGAATGAAACATATATAGGTTCTGATGAAGATGAATAATAGCTATATCAAACAACATTTGTATTAGAAAGTGATGGTTAATTGGATCTTTTTAACTAGTGATATGAATAACTGAATTGGATCATTCTAGTTAAAAATCATAATTTTAACAGGCCTGAGTACAGTATGTCAAATCTGTCCTGTTTCAAATTGTTGAAAGTGTGGGCTGGGTAGACATAAAGTCTTCCTTGAATTTTGAGATCATGCATTACTGTATCACAAACAATTGCTACATTCCATTTCCTGAACCAAGTGGGATATTGCAGGGACCAGAAAAGCTGCTATTCTAATTGATTTAAATCTTTCAAGAAAAATCAGGACTGATAAATTTAAAACAGAACAAAAATGGAGCTCCATCTCTGGATATTACTTACAAATATAGGTGAGACTTTACAGCTACAAATGTGAAAGCCTGAAAAAGAATGAGTGTAAAAATACACAGACATAGATACATCTTCAGACTTCTCTCTATAGTGCTTCAGATTTTTTAAAATATTCAACATATTACAGCAAATGAGGAAGACAAATATACCCGGATTCCACATAGCTTTTCCTATTAAAACTGTTGGGAAAATATTTAATAAGGCAAAGTCTTTAATATTAAGTTTGGTGTGCAAGTTGTGACTGTGCAAACAAACAGACAGGGATGACTTATGGAAAGCATTATCTGGGCACAAACTCAGTAATTAATAACCAGAGCTGAATCTATGCTAGCTATACTGAAATATTTATTGTGCCTTTCGTGGAACAGACTCCAAAGTACATTTAGTTGCTCTTACAGTGCATCATTAGTATGTAAATTGCTGCCCTATATTTTCCTCTACTCCCGAAAAAGGCACTTATACCATTTTGGAATTTGAAAACTGATCCTTTAAATACATACTCTCATCCTCATTTTGTTTACCTCTGTAACAAAAATTTAGTTATACAAATTTATTGTTGCATTAGATCAGGGGTGTCAAACTGCTGGTCCGCAGGCTGGACATGTCATGAGGAAACCGCGCCCTCCCCATTGCCGACAATGAGGAAAAAGCTCCGATACGTCGCACCACGTCACATAACATCGCGAGTTTGACATGTCTGCCTTAGATGGATCAATGATGGCCAATATTTATTGTAGGCAATGTTTATCTAGGTGGAAAAGCTGGATATAAGTTGGATGAGGATATTATCCCATACATTGATTCCTTCACAAGAAATCAAACTTGATAATAGTTTCTGCCATCTAGCAGAGAAGATTTCACTGTTGTGGAATATACAGGTAGTCCTCGATTTACAAATGGTCACCGAGTGTCCATTCAAAGTTACGACCCTTCCAGAAAAGGGGGGAATTACAATCCAAATCCAAAGTTCTGATTCTGTCCCCCCCCCCCCCGAATGTGGTCATGTGCCCACACTTCAGGTGCTCGCCAATATGGCTGCATTTGTGAATGTACCACAGTCGCATGATGATTTTGCCAAAACCCAGCACTTCTGGATTTGGGTAAAACCGTGCAATATAGAACAGTGGGTTCGCTTAACAAATGCTGCATTCATTTTTTGACTGCTATTTTCACTTAGCAACTGCTGCAAACCCCTCCCCATAAAATCGGATTGGTCAGGCTCCATTATGGCCATCACTTGGGAATTGCTGTGCTATTGTCAGGTGCAAAAGGCCCGGTCCACGTATGAATGTTTAGTTTAACTGATTTATTGCTATAAGTTTATACACAGCAATCTTCTCAGCTAATGGTCAGCACGTGGTTATAGTTAGATAAGGATCAACAGCAATCAAGGAGGAGGGCTTAGTTTATTTATGTCTACATAATGATTCTATCTGATCCTGCCTTTTACTCCTCCCTCTGGCTCTGCCAGTCCTTCTCTTACATCTATAGGCTTTTACCTATTACATATCTGTTGCTTATCTATTTAAAAGAAAATTTTAAAGTGTGGAATTTCTCTCTCTCTCTCTCTCTCTCTCTCATAAATTAATTCCTTTTTCCATTGATCAGTTTTTCCAACAATTATTCAACAGTTGGTATCTCTTCAAGCTAAATTGCTCCATTTATGGTACAACAAATGCTTTCTACACAGGTAGGCAGAAATTTAGGGTTCGGATGACTGGTTTGATCCAGTGGAGTCCAGTGCAAAATATACAGTACAAAAGAATTCTCCAATTTAACTGACAGACCTCAATGGAAATAACATTTCCAAATCAATTGCCTGTTATCCCACACTTTCATATCAGCAGAATAATCTAGGGTACAGATCTCCAAACTCTTCATTCACCAGTCCCTTCGTGAAATTCTAGATTGTTCATTGACCCCCCCAACATTTATTATTTGTAAATAATTACTAAATACTATTTTAACTAATAGTATTATGAAAACAATAATCTTTAACTCCATCAAACAACCACACCTGCTTATTCCAAGTTCTTGGGAAGGACTTGATAGGTGGATAAAAATGCCAAATCCAGTGTAAATATACGGCTGACTGTGACCAGTCATCATCAGAATAATATACCAACCATAATAAAAGACATCTCCAGGCTGCTTTCGTTGATGGCTGACCATCCAACCCTGGATAACACTGTCTTGTCTCTAGCCACCTAAACTTCAGGACTAAGGACTGGCGTGAAGCTCTGTTGGGACTCCAGTTCTGCAGTCTCTCCAATTTTGGGGAACCCTGGCCTGGGTAAACAAGTCGGACATTTTACTGTGAAAATTAAATTATAGTCATACCACAGTATTCGACTGCTTCAAAACTCATTGAATTTGGTACTTGATACGTTTTGAAGCAAAAATCTTGTCTCAATAGTCATTTTTCTCTCTATGCTTGACGTGCAAGGTAAACTTCCTGGCATTGGCTGTCTTGTGACTTGCTGTTTCTTCCAGCCGAAATAAAGAGTCACCTGGTAAATCAGGTGACTCATCCTCCCAGAACAAATTAGCAATGAGTACCAAGGTGCCATTGTGTGGGAATTAAATACATTTAGTAATCTATTGCAATTCATTCAGAGAGCTACCATTATGTTTTTCAGCCCACAGCAGCTTTACATAACCCACTGAAAAGAGGAAATTCTTCAGTATTTACAGGGAATTATATATTTTTTAAACAATTCTATAAATACATTGTGGTACGAGATACTCAAATTGGAGAGATTATAGACTTGCTTCTTAGCCCTCTTTTTCTTCTCGGTAGTTCTACAGCTGGGTTTATGAGCCTCATTTTCATTTTTTCCTCTCTCTAATCTGCTCCTTGGGAAAACCATTAGCAGTTTTATTATTTCTGATCTACTAATTTAAAAATCTTAACGTGAGGCATGCTGAAATCGTATGGCTGATTTCTGGCAGGTGTAGTGTCTGTCTGTTTTGAGGGAGACAGTGATGGCTACATTAACCTGGTAGCATATCCGTATGTGGAGAGCGAAACCTTGGAGCAAGATGATACACCAGAGAGGGACCAGCCACGTCGTAAACACTCCCGCAGGAGCCTCAACAAATCAGGCAGTGGTAGTGAGCATAAGGAGGAGAAGGCAGGGCTCACTTCTGAGACCTCGGAAAGGTACTGGCTTGTGGGGTTTTGGGGGGGGGTTGTTTGTGGTTGGTTTCTTTTGCTTTCCTTCTAATGGGTAATTAAGAGGCCCCTTTTCTTAAGCATCCTCTTGGATTTCTTTTAAAAATCAAAGATCCATGATAAGAGATTGGCACCGGCTTTCTGGTGTGGGATGATTCATATATATATATGAATTAAGCTTAGCAACCCAAATGTTATTCTGTGCTGTAACAGTTCTTATATTGCAGGGCTTTTTACCGTCATTGTCATATTATGTTGTACCCACAGCATCCAGGACACAAAGAGCCTCAAGAGCTTCCATTCAGATGTTCCATTTCAGATGCTAGATGGAAATAGTAGTGTTAGTTCTGAGAAGATCAGCTTTAACCCGTGGAGTTTGCGTTGCCACAAGCAACAACTGAGTCTCATGCGCTCGGAGTCTAAGGAACGAAAGCTCTACAGTATCCTCCAAGTGGCAAAATCTGCCACAATATAGCGTTTTACAACATGATCACTTTTACACAATATCTGTGGATTCTAACAAGGGTGTCTGCTTTTATTCTTCGTATAAGGTATTGACTATAATGGTGCAAATAGTTCCCTGTGACATTGTTTTCTTCTGGCCATTTCCAGTATTCAGTCACGAATACTCAAATATTAGTTCTAAGAGGGCAAATTGACATTCTTCCTATCTCTTGGTGGCCAAGTTGTACGTATAGTACAGTACTCTTTTCCTTCTTTGAATTCTTTGGTCTGTCTGAACATATGCTCAGTGATAGAATGTTCTCTAGTATTTCAGTAGAAATCAACAGAGAGCTTCAAGAGATCAATTCTCCTTGACCAGCCTCTCAGAATTTCTTTTGCTGGAGAATGTGGTGCATCATTTCAAACTTCCCTGTGTGCTTGACTTGAAAATGGGGACCAGACAACATGGGGATGATGCATCTGAGGAGAAGGCTGCTCGGCAGATGAAGAAATGTGCACAAAGCACCTCAGCTACACTAGGAGTCCGAGTCTGTGGAATGCAGGTACTGTATGAATCGCAAGCAAAATGTGGCCGCTGGCCTCTTCCTGTGTGTACGAAGCATTGGATATTGTGCCAACTTCTGCAGAAACCTGGAATCTCTTCCCCATTTTTGAAAAATGGTCCGGCCAGAACAGATTTGGGGAACAGGGTATGCGTGGAGAGGAAAGGATAAAAAAAGGATTGTATTAATAGAATACATACCACATTATTTCTCCTAAACCAATCACATATTTTTAGAGTTATTGGAAGGCATATGAGCAAATAGTGCAAAAAACTTCAAGCTCTTTTCATCCAAGTTCAGCCTTTCAACCCTTTGTGAGTTAAAGGGCAAACCTGAAGAAGGAACGCTTGAAACCACTGAACAATGTTCAGATCTCAGTGGGAGAAAAGAATGACAAATCCTATGTCATTCGTGGCGAACCTATGGCACGGGTGCCAGAGGCGGCACTCGGAGCCCTCTCTGTGGGCACACATGCCATTGCCCCAGCCTCGCCTCCCTCCACGACCCCCCCCCCCGAGCGTGGCCCACACGGAGCAGCGCAGCCAAGGACATGGCAGCCAGCCAGCATGCAGTTGATGCTGCGGGGCACAGGCAGAGGGTGTGGCCACCATGGCGCTGCGGGGCTGCCTGGGCAATCTGCAGTGGGCCCTGGAGGCAGGCGGGGTGGGGCAGGGGTGGAACGGGGCGGGGCCAGTTTTTGGGCACTCGGTCTCTAAAAGGTTCGCCATCACTGTCCTATGTGAACTAGGAGTTGTGGTGGCCCAATGGTTAAATGCAGTATTGCAGGCTAATTCTGCTGACTGCCAGGAGTTCAATCCTGACTGGCTCAAGGTTGACTCAGCCCTCCATCCTTCCGAGGTTGGTAAAATGAAGACCCAAATTGTTGGGGACCATATGCTGACTCTGCAAATTGCTTAGGAAGTGCTGTAAAGTACTATGAAACGATATAAGTCTAAGTGCTATTGCTGTGTGAATTGTCATGGAATAGATCCATAAGGCATGATATGATTTATTTCCAAATAAATATAGAACTGTATTTTTAAGTGGGGTAGAACAGGGTTCCCCAACCCCCGGGCCACAGACTGGTAGCAGTCTGAAGCTCGTTGGAAACTGGGCTGCACAAGCGGCAGGCAAGCATGGGAAGCTTCATTTGCGCGTGCGCGAGATAAGGTTGAGCCCACGAATACATCCCTTTCCCCCCCACACTGCTGCTGTGCACTGCCACCGACACCGTCAACCCTTGCAGCCAAAAGGATTGGGGACCCCTGGGGTAGAGGAATTGCAGAATAATGCAGTGTTTAGCAACAGAGATCTATAGCGTGAACTTCCTTAGTTAAATGAGATCAGTTCTCTTGAATTCTGAGCAGCAGAGGTACTCCAGCTGATAGAGCTCATTTCCCATAAAAGTCATGGGACTTTCTGAAATAACAGGCCTGGTCTGAGATGATAAGAGAATCCTTATTACACTGGACTAGTAAGGTTGGACATGAGGAAATTGCATTCCATTTTGTTTCTCAGGATGGAAAGATGTAACATGGATCTAACCTCCTTTTCTAAGCCTCTTCGCTCAAAGCACCAGGAATGTAGGTTGGTCAAGGTACTACCTCATTGATCTCCCAGTTTAGAGGATTTGGGACTTTTTTTTTTTTTAGCTAGGTATTTTTTATTCCTTACATGCTGGTGCCCCCTGCTGGATGGTAACAGGGTGGGAAAATATCTTCGTTGTAAAACTTTCTATTGATTTTACAGCCAAATTCTGAATTTCCAAGCTGATGTGAATGGCGTGACTTTAAAATAAATTGCTCCTTCTGTAACTTTTGTTTGATTAATGACCTTTGTGGGATGTTTTACTTAGGAATGAGAATGCCTAGGGCAATTAGTTTGAAAAGCATTTAGCTATCCAGTCAGCAGTTTTCTCTGTAGGCTTTTAAAAATTTGTAGCAGGGTTTTACTAATTTCAAGAAAGAGATTGAAGAGGTTTTGTTCCTGTATGGAAACACTAAAGCTTCTACCCTTATCCAATAACTGCTAGCATTATGCACAGGAGACAAAGCAATCTGCCTGGAAATACTTTTGAGCTATATTGTGTTTGATTTAGTGCTCTGGGCTTTTTGGGCTACTTAGTCTAATGGAGAGGAATGCCCTCAGTAATAATTTAAATTGGCAGATTAGGGCACTTCCTTTTTTTTTCTTGGTATAAACTATATTTTGAAGGATTGATCCAATGCTTCTGTTTCCTCTTGCCAGCCCTTATGAGTACTGCCATCTCAAAATGCAAATATTTCCTTGAGCGTCGGTAGAAAATAATAATGGATCAGTAGCACTTGGTTTTCTTACCATCCTAAAATGTGACTATGCTTCTAAACTAATGCACGCTTTCTCCTTGTGTTGTAGGTCTATCAGCTGAATACAGGGCATTATTTGTGCAGGAACAAATATTACGGCAGAGGTCTTTCCACTGAGGGCTTTCGCAGTGCCCTTTGCCAGTACCTGCACAATGGCATAGAGCTACGAAAGGACCTTTTTGATCCCATCCTCAGCAAATTGCAGAGTCTAAAGGCTGTGTTGGAGAGGCAGGCCTCTTATCGGTTCTATTCCAGCTCCTTGCTCATTATTTATGATGGGAAGGATACTCGATCTGAGACACACCTGGACCGCAAAGCAGAGGTGCGCCTAAAACAAGTGGACCTCTCCCCCGCTGACAACTTACAAGATGTCAGCAACACAGAATCCGTCTCCTTCCAGCCCAAGGTGGATGTACGTATGATTGACTTCGCACACAGCACATTCAAAGGCTTTCGGGATGACCCCACTGTACATGATGGCCCTGATATGGGGTATGTGTTTGGACTAGAGAGCCTTATCAACATAATAGGTCAGATGAGGGATGAGAATCAGTAGCCTTGGGCTGGCCAATTTTCTCTCCCAAGGATAGGAACAGACAGGACCCCTACTGGCACAGAGAAAGCAGACTCTTCTGCTTTGAAAATACACTTTGTTTCAATGTATTTGACAAAGGACTTGATATCCTGGATGATCCTGGCAAAATGGTTTTCAGTTTTCACTATCGGCCTGAACTCCTTGTGGGACAAATCAATTCATGGCTCCAGTATAGGGCATTTTGTCTGGGGCTTGGGATCTGTTGTGTATAGCCCTTGTCTTTCAGAAACGTAGAAACTCCCTCCCCCCCCCCCAAAAAAAGAAGGAGTGGGTGTAGATGTTGGGATTCCAATAGTCCACTTCCTTGTCAACTTTCCAACGCGGCACAGTGGTTTGAAAGTCTCTTTTTTGTGTGTGTGTTCAAAATGGGCATTCACATTCAAGCTTTTGAGGCTGATCGATGCACACGATTTACACAGGCCCCACTCTGTTGTTTTTTGCCCCTGAGCAGATGTGAAATAGTCTTCTAGAGGGAACATATAATATATCATTTATCTTCTCCAACCTGGTCCTTAGCAGGTCATCCCAACTGGGGAAATAAATGACCAAAGGCAAACCAGTGCAATGCTTTAATGATTTTGCTTCGCATCATTTTGATGAAGCTTCCGTACCTCCCCAATTTCCTGCAGTTGACTGAAATGATTAATTCCAGGAATACCTAATCAGATGTCCACAACAGTGGTCTTGATGTCTGTCTTCACACGACACTAAGGTAGCTAAACATACTTAAAATACTTTCTGGGATTAATGATGTTTTATCAGGTATGAATTCTTTCCTCTGGTAGACCCAGTAGCCTCCAGCCTCAGTCACACCTAAACCCTGTGATGCTGAATGGTCCTTCCCCTTCCCTTTCAACAGCCTTCCCTGCCAAACTGATATTTTCCACACAGCTTCCATCCACACTAGTGAAGCACTCAAGAGGCAGTTGATGAGAAGTTGGCCTTTTTGTTTTGAAAACTCATTCCCACTGTGGATGGAAGAGCCTGTTTGGCTCTGAATGATGGCCTTCTGGTAAAGAGTACTATCACCCGTGCTTGTCTTCACCTCAGGGAGCTGGTGTTTGCTGGCCTTATTCCTACAGTTAGTAATCTCACAATAGAAAATTTGTAGCTCTTGCAAGCAAAAACACAGCACCAAGAAGTGTTGAACGGACCCTAGAGAATGGTTGCTCTGGTTAAGGCTAGGCCTAGCGGAGATAAATGCACTACTAGACCTCTTGGAAAATGCACTTTGTGGGAAGGGATTTGCTACCGTAGGGAACTGATGTTATTAATATTGAGGACAGTGATCTTGCGGCTCTGTTGTGGACGTTTTTAAGAAGAACTGGTATTTGACTAAAAGTCCTTGTGTAGAATCTGTGCCTCCCTTGGGGTGTGTATGGCCTTTATACAAATACCTGCAAGCATTTTTGGGATTTTTTTTTTTTCATCAAAGAACTTCTGGTTGAGCTTTTTTATAGTGCCAGTACGGACCTGCAGAAGCAAACCTTGCTGAGGCTATTTTGAAAGGCAGGTGAGAGAGTCACCTTGGTGCATTGACCATTCAGGACTAACCTTGGGTCTTGCTTTTTTTTCCCACAAGGCAAAAAGATGTTTGTGCTAGGAAGAAAGTAATGCAGCTCTTCCAGCATTACTCTTGATTCCTGGATCTTTTAAAAAAAATATATTCTGTGAGTTACTTCTTGACATTTTTGTGATTGTGGCACCATATTCTATGTCCCATTTTAGATCAACAGTACCTTTCAAAACATCTGTAAAAATTTGAAGGCTGGAAGGGAATTTTTATCCCTCCAGTTGTTATCAACAAAAATCGATCTAGAAAGCCACTCGACGGAGTTTACTTCCTGTCTAATGATTGCCTTGTTTTAAAACAGATGTGTATAAAATACTTTTGAACTATTCAGATTTTTACACCGCAAGTTCTAGAGCTTGTAAATAGCTTTTTCCCCCCTTTCCTGTTTCAGGTTTTCATAAGACTAGTAATTCTTTTTGCTCAGTGCAGAAGTACAAAAATAGTAAGAATATGTTTTTGTCAGTATTTTAGCATTGTGGTTTGCTTTCAAACAGTGTAAAGCACAGTTTTGTTCTAGAGCAGTAAGCTTTCCAGATTCAAATCTTTAATTTCAAGATAAGCAAAAAGACAGTTATTGTTTTTGGCGAGTACCTTGTATATTTGATATACAAGTACCTTGTATATTTCCTTAAACCAAAAACAGATGGAATTAGTTTATCAGCCTGGGTGCTTATTATACACGTGCCCTTAATTTGTTTTTGTTTTTTGCAGAGCTTATGTATGAATGTGTACATATGCTTCTGGGCAGTTTTATCAGCACTAAAGTGGTTGGGAGAGTACAGGCAAAACTGTGTAAGGAAACATTCATAGGAATTATTAGGAAAAGATCCAGATTATCAGAACAGGTGAATTCAAGTAGACTTCATCATACAAATTAGATTTAAGGCATCCATCCCTTTTGGCATTTGGCAAACCCATCTTCTGCAGCCTGGCATTTGCTTTGAATTGAAATTACTTCTGTAGGGCGATAGGGCCTTCTAAAAGGCACCGAAAGGTATACAACAAATCCAAAGATAGAAAACTAAACATTTGCCTTCCTCAACTTTCCTCCACATGCCTTGAGAAATGTGGTAGTTAGTTCAAAAGTGCACCTTTCAAACGAAAGGAATATTCTAGGTCTCTGGTAGCCCTTCTGGAGTTGTGTTGTTAAATAGTTTATGGATCTCTTATGCGTAACTGCCAAGTAGATGTTCCTGTTGGTGCTGTTTTACATAACAACTGTGGAACTTGGTCCAAGAAAGAATATGTCCCGTGGTAAGTAGGCCAGAGATGCTTGAATGGACATCCAAGGTCTCTCTCTTCCTTAAACCAAAAACAAATGGGATTCAATCTACATAAAACAAAGTTAACTTGTCCTATGTTTTTTTCCCTATAGCATTAGTTCATCTTCTGTTTTGTTACTGTTAATAGGCTAACATAATCAGTAAAGCAAAATGCAACATTCAGTGTTGCAGCCAAACCTCTTTTTTTTTTTTCAAACCACAGAGGCCATTGACCATTGATGGTAATCTGCCACTTCTCTGTAGGTTCTACCTCATGACTGAAGATAGAATAACACAAAATAGTAATCAGGATTTTCATGCTACTTAGGGGCGTTGTCCCTGAACTGGAAAGCTCTATTGCAGATGCTGTGGAGATATCTGAGGTAATTTGCAGAGATAAAAACAAAACTCTCCGTATGACATTTGGTGGGCTTTTTCAGTTGCTGTAAAGCAACTTGTCCTTTTCTTCCCGTGGTTAAGCCCGGGGTATTGATATTTCCCTTGTATTTTCTAATTCATCAGAAAACAGGAGTTTACTCGATCCAATATTAAGATGCACAGAGGGTCCATGTGAGAGTTTGAACCTGCTTGGTAAAGGGGATGCTGATCAGGAGAGCTGTATTCAAAAAAGCCATTTTGCATGCATTATATACATTCAAGTCCTCTTTTGAGGACTTTTGTAAATAAACTTTTCAGTCTGTTCCTTCTGGAACAGCAGAGTCTGTTTATTGCCCTTTACGGTTTGCTGATACTTACGTCCAATAGTGATGGCTCTTATAGCAGGATTTTGCACGTACTGTGTAGTTGCCTTCATATAGATGATGAATCAGCTTTTCAGCCTTCCGGAATACATAGCCAGCTCTCTTTTCTAGCAATACATAGGCACTGTTAGCATACATAGGCACGGTTCTCTTATCTTTCTAATAAAGGCCAAACGGGAGTTCACCATTCAATTTATTTTATATGGCTGGCAGTTATTGCCATGGAAGTGTCTCTTCCTTTCCTCAACTAAGGTTACTACTCACCGTGCTTTTTATCAATGTTTGATCTTGTTCTGTTAAGTTAGCTTGTGCTCTTTCAGTTTGAACGGGTGCTCTTGACCGACACCTTTTGTAGCCTGGAACTGCTACGTGATCTGTTTGAAAGATTTGTTCAAATATTTCCTCTTGAGCTGACCTTTGGAGAATCTTCCGTCTGTGAGTCCAAGGAAGATCTCCGTGTCACGGAGACCATATTGCATTAGGATTCCACGCTCTTAACCATTTTTTGCACCTTAAGAAAGCTGAAAGAAGAAAACCTTTCCAAGTTTCTGCTAAACGCTGGTAGAGACTGAACGCTAGTTTTGATTTCGGTAGCCTTATCCTTTCTGCAGCTACGTTTCCATGTGCATCCTATCCTTCCACAGAGGACCAAATCAGAAAGTGAATGCGAGTCCAGTTGCCTACTTGCTGCTCACAGATTGAATTTGTCGGTGTTGCTTTAAGAGGCCCAAAAGAAGTTTCCACTGGGGAAAAGCACTTTCGCTAGCCAGCTAAGATCTAGTTTGGGAGCTACACCCAGCAGCTTGCTGCAAGCCCATGGCACCTGACAACGCGACACGTTCTGCGGCTCTGGGGATATAACGTGGAGGTACAATCTGTGGGTGAGAGTTGCTCTAGCGCCAGGGCAAAGGATCCTGCTTTATTGCTTGCTGGAAAAGGGTCTCAACAGACAGTTTACCTTTTAAGCTTAAAAAGAGGCAAGCTTTATTGCTTTCAGGCTTCTTCTTTTTTTAAAAAAAAAAAAACCTCTCTGATTGAGGGGAGGGGGAGAAAGACTCAAGGCTTATGTATTTTGCTTGCTTTACAGTAAGTCTGGAAAGAGTCATTCATCAGGTTCCGGCTTTGGTTGTATTTGTACTATTACTGCATGCTTATCTCAGGAGCAAACTATCGTTTTTTATACTTTTGAGAAGTGTAGGGGCAGAATGGTCTCTGTGAGAACTGCTTTGAAAGGGAGAAAATGTTACATACTGTGAGAGCAAGGAGCAGACCTGCACCCTAGGGAGTGGCTCCCGCCTGTCCCTTTCGACTTGCCTGGGAGGGATGCTGCGTCATATTACAAATTTCTAGTATATTTCCCATAGTCTTTATTTCAGTGCTTTTGGGCATGAGAAATAACAGTATCTTAACTCCATTCACTGCACCTTTAGCTCTCCTGTTGTGCATAAAGTCCTACGTGTATATAAATAAAATGTGGACATTTATTGAGTGGCTTTTGTCTTTGTGTGGCTATTTCCATGTTATCAGGCATTATAAACATAACCGCGTCGGGGTTACACACACACACACACACACACACACACACACACACACTCTACCCTGTTAAAATGAACTTATTGCTCAGCAGAAAGTGGATTGAAAAAGGTTTAGAATCGCTGTCTGAGATGATACACCCTAAGACGGCGATGGCGAACCTTTTAGAGACCGAGTGCCCAAACTGCAACCCAAAACCCACTTATTTATTTCCAGGTGGGCATGGGTCATTGGGTGGGCGTGGCTGTGATGGTCATGGCAGATTGGGTGGGTGTGGCCAAGGTAGGTGTGATTACCTCAATGTTGCTTATGGGGAGGGATGCCTGTGGGAGCCGGGCAGGGTTGGGGGAGATCCAGGGGATCTCTGGCAGGTGGGGCAGTGGGCAGGGGGCTTGTCCTGTGGGGTGAGGTGAGGCAAGGCGAGGCAGGGTGGGGGTGCTATTGTCACAGGGCAAGATGAGGCAAGGGCCGGGGCAGTTGCTGCCTGACATCATCGGCCCCTGCACACAGAGACCAGCAAGCGCATGGGTGCTGGGATGCATCCAGCCATGTGGGATCTCAGCGAGTTAGCAGGTGGCTGGTTGAAGAGGGATGGTTGCCACCTCCGGGACATGGCACGCATGCCCACAGAGTCAGCTCTGAGTGCTGCCTCTGGCATGCGTGCCATAGGTTCGCCACCACTGCCCTAAGAAATCCGAAGCAGCTCTTTCTACGTTTCAGAATGTACTTTTCTGTTGTACTTTCTGGCAGAGACACTTCTACACCCCAGCAATAGTTCTTTGTAACAAAAATTGTTGAAAGACTGCTCACTACATATGGGTCCTTTAGACTAGGGAACATAGTTAGAAATGGTTCTTCTTCTAAGCTGTTCAATAAAATGTGCAGCTCAAAATCTAGTTAACCAGAATAAAGATTTTAAATGGATTCTAGAACAGTTTCAAGACAAAACACTAATTCAGTTTTAAACATACGACTCTGGAAACAAGCTTTAATTACCATTTATTTGTTTAACAAGTTCTGTCTATAATTGTGTAGCATTTTGAATTCAAAAAGGGAAAGGCACAGGCACACATGCTGCCTCTGTCTTCACCTCCTTAACAAAAGCTGCCTCTTCTAGGCTCACAGGTTGCTGCCTGATCCCCAGCAAAGTGTACATCTGAATTAAGAAAGCACCAGTAGGTTGCACCGAGTACTTTGAAGTGGGTGTAAACATAATGCCTCTATCTCCTTGCACGGCTCCTGCGTGAACCCAGAAATAGCACCAATTCTTTAGGGAATGCAGAAAGATACAGAATGCCCACTGCAGAGTACCTTTTTGGGTTTGGATCTCAGGTTGCATGTTCTTCTTTCTGACCTGACCTTGAACTGTTCACTTCTATAGACCCCCAAAGAGTTTTTATTTTTAAAAAAATAATTTTTATTTAAAAAAATTACAGAATAAAAACGTATAAAAAGTGCCGAGAAAAGAATAAAGAAATAAGAGAAATAGAAAAGACAAAATATAAAGAAATATGACCAGATCTTTAAAGCTGTTATAAATGCATTCAAAGTTTATCCTCTCTAAGGCTATGTCATAACTTTTTATAATTTATGCTATTTAATCATCAAAGCCATGCAGTCATGTGAAAAAGTAAGTACGCTCTCTTTGAGTTCTATTGTTTTTACATATCAGGACATGATAAAAATCATCTTAGCAGTTCTTAAAAGTACTTACGTACAACCTCACGTGAACAACAACAAATGACATCACACCATATTGTCATTTATTTTGCAAATAGAGCCAAAATTGTGTGAAAAAGTAAGTACACTCTTACTGCTTCCACGTAGAATGAGGCTAAGTAGTAGTCAGGTGCTGCTAATCAAATGCCCTTGATCAATTGATCAGCAAGTGTGACTAGCTCTATAAAAGCCAAAGTTTTAGGGCTTTGCTGGTCTCCAGCATTGAGGTGTGTGTTAACACAATGCCAAAGTGGAAAGGCATCAGCAATGATCTTAGAAAAGCAATTGTTGCTGCCCATCAATCTGGGAAGGATTCTAAAGCCATTCTCAAACAATTCAAAGTCCATCATTCTACAGTGAGGAACATTATTCATAAGTGGAAAACATTCACGACAGCTGTCAATCTTTCCAGATATGAACATCCCAACAAATTCACGCCAAGGTCAGTCTGAGCAAAGCTCAGAGAAATTGCAAAAAATCCAACAGTTATATCGCAGACTTTACAGGCCTCACTTTGCTTATTAAATGTTGAAGTTATAATAGTACAATTAGAAAAAGACTGAACGAGTATGGTTTGTTTGGAAGAGTTGCCAGGAGAAAGCCTCTTCTCTCTGAAAGGAACATGGTAGCATGGCTTAGATTTGCAAAGTTGCCTCTGAACATCACGAGACTTCTGGAATACTGTCAAAACCAAAGTGGGGATGTTTGGCCATAATGCACAGTGCCACGTTTGGTAAAAACCAAACGCAGAATATCAGCACAAACATGCAGCTGTCAAGCATGGTGGTGCGGGGGTGAAGATCTGGGCTTGTTTTGTAGCCACAGGACCTGGGCACATGCAAACACTTGAGTCTACCATGATTTCCTCTGTATACCAAAATATTTTAGAGTCAAATATGAGGCCATCTGTCCAACAGCTAAAGCTTAGCTGACATTGGGTCACGCAACAGGACAATGAACCAATGAACCAAGTGCACCAGCAAATCTACAACGGAATGGCTGAAAAAGAAAGATGTTGCAATGGCTCAGTCACAGGCCAGATCTCAACCCAATTGAAATGCTGTTAGTGAGACCTCAAGAAAGCTGTGCATGAACAAATACCCGCAAACCTCAATGAACTGAAACATCGTTGTAAAGAAGAGTGGATCAAAATTCCTCCACAATGATGTGAGAGTACAGAACACAATTACTTCCAATTATTGATATTAAGGTGACTCTATAAGCTATTGAAGCATAAGGTGTTCTTAGTTTTTCATACATGGCTTCTTTGTTTTGCCTTTCATTTTGTAAAATAAATAATGACATGGTGCAATATATCATGCATTGGTTATCTGAGATTCTATTTACTTTTAAGAACTGCTAAGGACCAGATGATTTTTACTATGTCCTGATGCATATCATATAACTCAAAGAGGGTGTCCTTTTTTCACATGACTGTAAACCAACCACAAGTACATTTTTTCCATTTTTAGCAAAAAGCCTTTAAGAAGGGTTTCCAGTGACTAACAAATGTAGTTAATAGCCTTTTCCAGCTCTGTAACACACAGTAATAATTATTTGTTATTATTTGCAGGAACAACAGTTTTATTACAAGTATGAATTAAAGGCACTGTCAGCAGAATAGGCATTTGTGATCCTAACAAAGTGTGCTTGAGGTTTATTACTTATATTCAAGATTGAATATACAGTTTTGGCAGATATAGTGCCAAAATGCCATTGCCAGTCTTAACACTTGTTAATTGTCTTTTCTCTAATTAAACAAGTCAGTTTTGCAATCTCTGCAAATTCTGTCATCATTTGTTCATTGTAGGTATTTCTAACGTTTTCCATCTTCATGCCTATAAGTTACCATATTAAAAAAAAAACAAATGTCCATAAGTCTTTTCTAATTGTTTGTCCTTTAGTTCCAGCAAGAAAAGATCTGGTTTTAGATGAATACTGGTTTTTAAAGTTCTTTTTATTATTGTAATGGCTCAGTAATTAAAGACGCTGAGCTCAGCTGAAAAACTGACAGCCCAGATTTGAGTCCGAAGTGCTGCAAGAGGGGATGAGCTCTTGTTGTCTGCCCCACTAGCAGTTTGAAAGCAGGCAAACGTGAATAAATAAATAGGTACCACTTCGGTGGGAAGGTAACAGCATTCTGTGCCCCTTGGCGTGTAGTCATGCTATCCACATGACCATAAATGCTGGCTCCCTTGATGAAGAAACGGAGATGAGCACTTTTATCTTTTATTTGAACTCAGAATGTTCTGGCTTTTTTTACAAGTCCATCTGATAACGTTAAAATGACTTTATTTTTTCCACATTTCCAGCATAGATTTGGATCCAAGTAGTAACGGTACATTGTTTTATAAAAATTGTTTTAAATTACAACAATGTAAATTTCCAACTGTATGCTTTCCTAGTGTTCCCTCAGTATATAGTTCCTAGCCCATTTTATCATACATTTTTCACTTCTTGTTCTTCCATTTCAAATTTAAACAAATCAACCAGGTCACTTTTAACAGATTTGGCAGATTCGGATACCTTTTTCCTCATCTCTTCAAATACTTTTTCTGGAGTAATCCGTTGCTGCTGCTGCTGCTGAGCTTTCCCCCAGTGATAGCTTTACCCCAGTGTTTCCCAAACTTGACAATTTTAAGGCATGAGGACTTCAACTCCCAGAATTCCACAGCCAGCGTTGCTGGCTGTGGAATTCTGGGAGTTGAAGTCCTCATGCCTTAAAATTGTCAAGTTTGGGAAACACTGCTTTACACAACAGAAATGAGCCTGCTCTGGGAGGGAAAAGTAACAAGAAGCAGAGGTTTGCCTGCTTAGTGCTGTGCATGTCAGAAAGGGTTGAGTTCTTGAGCTCCTTAGTGGGGTTACTGAAGAATTTCAGTCTAAAAGCTTTCCAATTACTGATCCTTCCAAAATGTCTTGTGTGGTTCTAGGCGAGCAAATTAACCACTTGGAACGTATCTGGGCTAAAGAGCCCAGTAATGACTTTCATTAAGGTATTTGGCTTGCCTAATTAATATTCCATAGCAACACGAGTACCTTTTATGTTCAGATCAACACTAAGAGACTGGGGCACCTTTCAAAATGATTCTAATCAATTGCTGGGTACTATTAATTAACTATGGGCTGCATTTTAGGACATGAACAGATCAGCCAACCACATTTTAGCTAAATAAGTTGGCTGAACCCCACCCATGTGGGTTAGCTTATGATTTTGTACAAGTCATAAAATGGGTC